GGCGCCGAGGTGCTGGAGCGCGAGCGCAGTGCGCAGCCCGGGCGGCCGGACCCTCGCGGTAGCCCGGCTGCGCCGAGTCGCGGTGCCGCCGCTCGGACGCGGACGCGGGCTGCACCTGCCGGACCCGCTGGACCCTCGCCCACGCCCGGTTCTCCGCGGCCTCTCGCCGCCCGGGGCTGCCGCGGCCAAGGTAAGAGCCCGGGGCGCCGGGGCGACTTCTCGGACCTGTGGCTGAGCCCTGCGCGGGATGCGGCGGGGTTCGCGCCTGCCGGCCCTGCCCTGAACCGAGCGCTGCGCCCGGAGCCGCTGGACTCTCGGTGATCGCGCCCCCGCTGCCCCTCCTGGTGCGGAGAACTTTTCCGGCTCCTGGCGGCGGAGAGGGCGATCCGGGGCGCGCAACCTCAGCCTGCGATCCCCCCCGAGGCAGGAGGGGCCGCGTTGCCCGGAGGACCCGGGCAGTGCCGCGGCCGGAGCGGTCGCCCGAGTCGTGTGTCCCGGCCACTGAGCTGCGCCCGCTGCCACCAGCCCGACCTTTCTGACCGGCGCCTTCCTCACGGTCAGGTTGCAAAGGGCTCACTTCGGAGGGAGCAGGTCGTGCCCGCGCACTCAGGCCAGCCCTGGGTGGCCCCTGTCATCGGGACGGATTTTCCTGCCCCGAGCCGAGCCGTGGACCCTGGCTGAGAAGGTTTCTGCGGAAGCCCTGCTCGGTGAATGTTGTCCTTCCGTCCCTTAGCGTGGCCTCCCGCGGGAGCAGAGAGCAGCCCGCGCTTTCCGTGGGTGTCCTGCGAAGTTGTACAGGGGCTTACGTAAGGGTCCCGAGGGAGGGAACCTGGCTCGGCTGCCTTCCCGGATCTCTGGGGAGGGAGGGGACGGCGGGGGCGTCGCCTCACCCGGAGCCTGACCCGAGGAGCCCCGAGTGCTTACTCTCTAAGTGGAGGCGCCCTGGGCTAATTTTCCTCCGGCTGGCCAGTCTCCTACCTCAGGATCGGCTTTGATAGGTTCTGAATTGGGAGAACAGGCTTTTCTCCCCTAGGAATGGGTGACACGAATGAATGAATTATTCAGGGCGTCCTGAGACCTCACTGAGAGAAAAAAAAACCAAAGGAACTGGCTGTAAGGTTCCACCGCCTCCTCTCCTAGTGCCTGCATGTTTCGGGAGTGTCTGCCCTCAGTGGAAATTGCTTGTGGAGAACACACATCTATGGAGCCTGGCTTTGCTGATCCCATTCCAGGAAGGAAAGGAAGTCATCCACGTGTAGATCTCAGTGGGCTTTCCAAAGCGCGAGGAGAGGTAGCAGAGCCCCCGTCAGGGTGGCGAGGTTTCCGAGGAAGGGTCTGGGAGCTGCCCGTGCAGGCCCTCCTGGCTCGCAGTGCTGGGCCGGGCTGTGCGCTAGCTTTCTCCTGTGAGGTGGTTCCTTTGGCTTCTGAAGCTCAACTAGAAGGGCCAGGAAGAAAAGGAGAGGTTTGCTCTTCTCATCCGGGGCGGGAAGGTGGCCAAGGCTCCCCTGGGCTCTGGATTCCTGTGCAGAGCTCAGCGTCTGAGTCGATGTGGAAAGCAGGAGGGTGCTGTCTGCAGTGCTCCATCCTGGCTGCCTTCAGGACGCTAGGGGTCTCATTTTCTGCTCTGCTGCCAGGGAGGAACCAGTACCTACCCCGGTACCAGAGACCAGCTTGTCTTCAGAGCTCACAGATCCAACTTCCATCCCAATGTGTTAGTATTACAGAATAGATTCTGAACTGCCAATGACTGGCTGGTGCTCGCCTGGTGCCATCTGGACAACTCAGAACTGGCCGCCTGGGCTTGGGATGAGATTGTGGAGACTGCGGATGCAGTCTCCTTAGCATCTGGGAAGATGCAACCTCTGGCACATCCTCTCTACTTCAGGACCCCTGGTTGTGCCAGCTTTAGATTCTCTGCAGTCAGCCCCTCGTCTCCCACCCTTTTTCTCCTGCAGTACTGAGGAGTGAACCCAGGACCTTCGCAGTGAGCTGCATCCTTGCATCCTTAACCTCTTCTTCCTCTTCCTCTTCCTCTTCCTCTTCTTTTTTAACTTTGAAACTGGGTCTCATAAAGTCACTAAATTGCACCTGGCTCCCTTTTGGCTTTTTACGCGCCTCACAGTCATAAAATCACACTACTTCAGAATATCTTTAAAATCCACTCCATCAAACTTAAAATTTCTTGCTGCCTTCTCCTTGAAAGCACATACAGATGTTAACGTGGCGCCTGGCAGTGTGTCTGCTCTCTCGTCTAGAGTCCTAAATCATTAGTGTCTGGGAATCTGCCAGTGGAATTAGAAGATAATTCTCTCTCCCTGAAAAACAAAGCCCCAGGCCTCCCCAGGAGAGCTGAGTCTTATCAGCTGCTGGAAGGCAGAGATGGAAGAGGTGGGATCTGAGGAGAGAAGCCCACTTCAGAACTCTGGCAGGGAAAGGCAGATGTTGTGTGATTTAGGGTGACTGCATTCTAAAGAGCCTGTTTCAGCATGCAGAACCTGACTCCTTGGAGCCTGGGAGCTCGCACGAGTTACTTCTTCTTCCTGAACTCTTGTTAGGCCATTGCGTGACCCTTTCCTTGTGTGTGTAGTGCATGTTTAGGTGGTTTAAGGGGTGGTAGCTGTATTCTGGGAAGAGGTTGGCGTAAAGCTGTGAGTCAGGCTTTATGGATTGATTCTCAGGTGCAGTATAGCCAAGGGGTCAGAGATCGGTGCAGGAGATACCCTTGCTCTGGCCCTTGATGCCAGCGATCCTGGGGAGCATGGGAGTGTGGGCCTTCCGGGAAGGCCCTGGTGACTTCCTGAAGGCTAGTGGCAGAAGAGGGAAGAGCTGAGGAGGAGCCAGACCTCTCTTAGGTCCGAAACATGGGGAAAGTGTCTTTGAGGCCAGAGCTTTGAGGTAGCAGTGCTGGTTTGGGGTGTACCTGCCACAGATACACCTGGAGGACACAGCCACTTCCAGCATCTGCTGACGTTGATGAGGTTTTGCTGCCCTGCCTTGGAGGACTTGGTGTGGAGAGCTGCTCAGCCTCTCCACACCGTGGGCCTTTGAAACATGGTAGACAGAAGCCAGTGCGTGAAGGCTGCATTAAGTTCATTTTAGAAGGCTTCTCTCTTAATTTAACAAATGGTCCTGAACATCCGCGATGTTCGGAGCTGGCCTTAGGGTCTTGGCAGAGGAGGCAGGCCCCAGCCTGCCGCTCGCTTGGGGAAATGTTGAGCTTGCAGGCCACAGGAAGGAAGGGGATCCTTCATACGAAGCCAGGGAGCTCAGGGCATGTAGCATGTGTGGCTGTCAGTGGGCGGTGCAGGAACAGGGAAGCTGTGCCCTGGCTCTTCGCTTTTCGGACTGGATAGGACCCAGGGGCGCTGGCTGAGTCTCCCACTTTGTCATTCAACGGAAAAGGAATTTTTTCTGTCCATTGTCTTTCCACACACAGCATTTTGCCTGTTCTTTCAAAAACTATTAGCAATGCAAATAAAGAAAGGACCCCTTATCAACCTCAAGTCTGGCCTCTTGTGTACATGAATTACATCTGGGGCTTTCATTATGTGATTATGCAACAGTGGGAAAAACAACAGTGTTACTTGACAAGTCACGTAGCATGGGAAAAACCCTTTTGTGCGAGAACAGATTCCGTTTTGTCAGGTTTGCGTCTGGGTAGAGTTGTGGTCCTGTTGGACACTTGCACAGTGCTTTGTGTTCTGATCACTGCGCTTGCCTGGACTGGCTTCGCTATTGGAAAGGAAGAGTTTGTGATGGTGAGAATGAGATTGGGTGAGTGTGCGCGTGCGTTTTGTGGGACGAGGATGCTACGGCTGTGCCTTTTTCAGCGTCCCAGGAGGTGGGTCCTGGCACCCTGTACCAGCACCAGTGCCAGCACCCATTAGTGCCGGGGCTGAGGTAGAAAGGCTTTTGCCTCCAACCTCTGTAGGGTGCGAAGTAGTCTCATCTGCTTCAAGTCACCTCTAGCTTACTTATAAGACATAAGGCAGTGTAAATGCTGTGTAAATTGCTGGCGCTCTGTAATTAATTAGGGGACAGTGACCAGGAAAAAAAGTCACGTTCAGTAGCTGCACAGTTTTTAAAAATATTTTCCGTCTAAGGTTAGTTGACTGCAGAGAGCCTCACTGTAGGGCTCAGATTGTACATGGTGAGGAAGACAAGCAGGGATGGATATGAGGAGGAAGGACGTCACAGAGGCAGCGTGGTCTCCCATGCCAGGAATGCTTAGCTTTCAGAAAGGGCACTGAGGACAGGGATAAAGGGAGTGCTCACGCACTTACGAGTGTGCATTGTGCGCTCTCCTTTGCTGTCATTCCCCCCCTCCCCGGGTCCAGGGGGACCAGGAGGTCTAGGGGTCTACACTAGCTTGCTGTGTGGCCCGAGAGCACGTCTTGATCTCTTGAGACTTCAGCACCATCTATAAGCAAGGCATTATTTCTCTCCTCACCGGAAACCGAGAGGCCCGCAGAGGGGAAAGGCCGCTTGTTCAGTTGGTGGCAAAGCTCAGACCCCTCCTTAGGGGTTGGATTTCTGGCGCTAAGATGGGAAGGGGGTGGGCCATTCACTGGTGTGCGTGCATTTACAGAATCCCTGCCCTGCAGCACCCAGCACTCCCCGAGTGGGAGCTGCGGACGCCAGGGAGGGTGGCTCGGCCCTGCTCTGCAGGTGCTGCAGCAGGTAGCCCGGCTGAGTCCCCTCCGGCGTGAGACTGCCTGCCTGCTCCTCTGTCCTGTGGGACCTGTTGATCCCAGAGTGTCACACTGATTCCGGGCTGCTACTTAAGAACTGAATGCTTTGCGACTAAAAAGAAAAACATTGGCCATTTTAATTGTTTCAGAGTTAAGTAGTTAAAAGTGGAGCTGACTCCTGGAGAGTTTGCAAAGCCTGGGCTACACTGTGAGGAGAAAACCTTTCATTTGACCTTGTAGGGGAGCTGTTGGGTAAATATGAAGGGAAACATCTTTTGAAGAAAAGTAGAGCAGGAGAACAGTTTCGTAGAAGTATGAGTCAGAAGGGCAGGCCAACTTGTTCTTTGACCTCCAGATTTTTGACTGGCTCCTGAGATTCCCCACCCCTGGTCTCCTGGGACAGGGCATCTCTGGTTGGAAAGAGAAGGGTGGAAAAAGAGCTGTGTAAATACAAGTTTCCTTACAGTGTCATTTCAGTACTGCTGCTCTGAGAGGGAGT